ATTGGTTTCGATTGCTGAAGAAGAGTCCGGATGCGGTAGATAACGGAGGTCTTTTGATGAGTTCGTGAGGAGTCAGCTGGAAGTTTTTACTTCTGGTTCTTCTGAAGAAGGAAAAGTCCACAGCGACTAAAGTAACTTGGAGATAAAAACTGCCAGAAAATAAAAACTCAAAAGGAAGATCTTGAGAGTCTTCGAAAAGTGTTGTCTCAAACGAAGAGGGTTTCTGAGCAAAGATTATTTCGGGCTAATCGCTTTTGAGGGTTCCTATTCTGTGTGGACTGGCCAATACCAGGCATGAATTTTGAGCAGGAGAAGTTTCCTTTGTTCCCTTCATGGCTCATTTGCATGTTTTATGGCCGGTCTGGAATTTCTGTAGTTTTAACCCAAAATATAGTACAAATCGTATGATGCGTTTCACAATCACATACTGTACCTCATTGTTTGAGGAATGAAAAGCTGATCATTTTGATACCAAGAACAAAGCATCTAGAAGATCTTAAAGTAGAGATACACTCACATACCTGAATATAAGCATTGAGAGTCTAACTAATACAAATAAAATGTTGTAACTAGGCTAATACAATAGGGAAACATACAAACAACACATGCATATACCAGATACAATTATAACTGATTAATTATAGTCTAAATAAAGAAATGTCTTTATGTGTGTGTGTTTGTGTGTGTGTGTGTGTGTGTGTGTGTTAGTTTGCTTGGTCGGTCAGGCCAATTGCCTGGCCATTTACAGCTCTTTGGACCGTGTTTGAAGTCAGATGGGGGAGATGATAGTGGGGGAGGACTGGTTAGAATCTCCTTGATGGCGAGGAACCATCTGGCAATTTAAACCCCCATTAAAAGTAAAGTCTCTGACCAGAACTGTAATTTATATGCAAATGTCAAAAGGCTAAAAGGGTCTCTTAAGCCATAAAAACCCAAAGATCATGCATGATTCTACGCAGACGCTACAGTTCAATAGAACAGCATTTACTGTCACTTTATATCAGGTGTCGTCAACTCTGGACTTTGTGATCCACTTTTTAACTCCAACCTGGATTAAACACACATACCTAAAACTCTGTAGTAATCATGAATACCTTGATTAGTTTGGTCAGGTGTGTTTGATTAGGGTTGGAGCTAAACTCTCCAGGAAAGCGGTCTCGAGGTCCAGAGTTGAGGACCCCTGCTTTAAATCAGTTTAATGCATCCTTGGTGAATAAAAGTATTCATTTCTTAAAATTAATAAATACATTTTAAAAGCCTTTGGTATTCATAGCCAATGGGGCTCTTCTTCAGATACGATCATTTATTTGGACGTTTTTAACATTACCAGTAAACCGTGTTTAAGGTCCAGTGGCAAAACATGCTGGTTCTTTTGTTTTGTGAATAGTTTCAGTTTGTTTTGGTGTCTAAGTCCCAGATGAAGTGCAGTGGTACGTTTTTCATTCTTTCTTTGAAGATCTGGTCAAACATCTCATTTTGTGCCACAGTGAATGTGTTCTTCCAATCTCCTACTGTGCCTGCAACATCAGACCAATTATAACAACCGAGTAAGTGAAGGATTCATCTTATTTACTTTCCAAGATTATAATCTTTGAACATTGACCTTTGCGCATGAATTGGGGCTTAAGCAGTCGATCACCAGGAATGAATTCATAGTTTGCTCTCGGGTCCTTCTTCATGTTTTTAAAAGTGGCCTTCTCCACAATATGTGCAATAGCAGCGTCATCCAGATTTTTCTCCAAGAACTTGCTGATTTTCTCCACCGCTGTCCTGAGATCCTGAATGTGGTGCCAAATTCATCAGTGTAAGGAAGGTATAAAAATACATCTTTAATATTTAGCATCCTGCAAATAGTTTTGACATATTTTGAGGCTGTGATTACTCACCATGACCATGTCCTCATATGACAGGAAAAGGATGCTGTACTGGTCTCTTTTACTGTACCACTCTCGGACATGATCAAACCAAGATGAACCACCAACTAAAACATGAGGTATGAACTGATCATTCTGTTTAAAGTGACACCTACTGTACAAAAACAATTCGTCCTGAATTTGGTGTTTACATTTAACAGGTTAAAAATATTCGAATGTGCTGCATTGCTTACCATTTCCTGCTAGATACTGCTGCAGAAAGTCTTCAAAGTTCTTGGGTGTCTCAAGCTTGGCCCAGACGAGACTAAAGTGATAATAGGACACTGCATTGTCTTTTGGATTTCTAAGCACATACACAATCTGCTATTTAAAAGACATGAAGAGCATTGAGGATTAGACCAAACAAAATTTGATCTAAAATTTTATTTTAGAACCAAACAAGTGGCTGATATAGAATTTGCTCACACAAAATAATACTTATTGAAGTAGTTATTTATTTTACTTTTTGCATAAGAGACTGCCTAAATACTTAACTTTCCTCTTTTGTCCCTAAGGCCTGGTGGCATCAGTGTGGGTGTGAGATGGGTGGCAAATAACCGTGGAGACGGGCGCAAGGAATAGTCAGGTCGGCCTTCACGGTACTCTAACCAAGGCATCTTCTCAAGATTGTTGGGAAATTTTGTTTTGTCTGCAGCGTCCTCACAAATTAAATTTATAATGTTCTGTGTCCATATTGTACCTGCAAAAATATGGTTCAGTATGTTACAACCAAAGAAAACACACACACACACACACGGTTAGCAGCACACTTAATGAGGGTGACTGGGACCAGTTGTCATGCCAGTTATTTTGTGGTGTTTGCTATTGGTACAGTATCTTAGTATTTATTAGATTTTGAGTCTCTAGTTAGTCTACTTTAGCACCATGTAGTGCCACCATTTGGATCGTGAGTCATAAAACATCCTTTACTGATGAACTAAAAAATCTGTCTGCCTGTCTATCGTTTTTTTGGCCATATCATTAACGTGCCAACATCAACGAATGACTGTACCCTTAAGAGGTTTTTACAGTAAAATATGAAACTGCTGCTCTCTTGTCCTGTTAACAGAATCTGTAATCATGGCCCCTCCTTGATGAAACCCAGTATAATAAATTGATTTATGTAAAGAAAAACACATTTTTAAACTGAAAGTTTGAAATATTTCTTAATCTTACCTGACTTGGGATACGTCACCAAAAAAACATCACTGTCACGAATCTCAAAATGCTGAAGAGAGTCAATGTACTCCCCGGTGGTTTCACCTTTTGCGAAAACATAGCCCTTATATTTAAATAAATAGTTGTTAAGAATTTCCATTATGCTGCACTTCTATCCACCCGCAATGTAGAGAAACCACAAGATGACCTTTGGAATCAGTGTGGAAGCAGAATTTAGTGTGCAAATGTAACAGCCCAGGCTGGGTGTTAATAATTAATTATAATAATACAGAGTGATACAGAGTCCATGTCACATATTAAGACTTTATTTAGCCTACTATATTATTATAACTAAAAAGGCATATTTACAAATCAGCACAGAATAACATGATCACTGTAGGGTAAAGTGTGACTTTATATTTTATAATTCATAACTACTAATTGATTTGATAATAAAGCATATATGAATTCTTAAACAGTATAAAAGTTAGTAAGCAAAAGGTGTGGTCTTCATAGTTTGTACTTTGGATATATGACAGTAAAAGTAGTTGTAAAGACAGCCTGATCAGAACAGATACATGATTGCTCTGACAATATACTGAGAAAACAATATTTACATAAGAGGACGGATGAAATATGTCCCAGTCAAATCGTTTCAGCTGTAACAGACAATCAAGTCAGAAAATAAAGAAAGTTTTGTAAGGAGAGCAGCAGATTTGACCAAGAAACACTGAACAGACTGGATCAGAATGGATGAGATAACAGAAGTATCCCACTGTCATGGTCAGTACACTCTTCTGGATAGACTGTCCTTTATTAAATGTACAAGTTACTGCAATAGTAATGAGTTAAACTGTGTTATTTGTCATTAGAGCATTGTAACCACATATTTAAAACAAATGGATTACAATGGTTTGTTCAATGTAGCTGTTTTTTTTTGTGCAAATTATGTGTTTGTTGTGTAATTTAGAAAGTAGACTATAACTACCACAGATGTAGTTTAAAAATAAAATTCACTCACTTTCCTAACCAAAACTGTCAAGACTGTTTAGCAAGAATCCAAATAACTGCTACAATACTATAGTTCGACTACTACAATCAGTGTACTTATTTCATTTTACAGAACTTGCTAATTTTACTACATTCTCTAAAGGGATTGTTCAGAGATTTTGATTACTGCTATTAAATTTTACCTAACGCTCTGACGTCAATAAGTAGTCATGGCAGTGAAATAAGGCCAAAGTTACATTCATCAGATGTTTGGTAATGTCAAATGAGGTAGACCTACAGTGTGTGATATTTGTAACACTTAATGAAAAAGACCTACAGTATACTAAACTTCAATCGATAAGGCATGCACCAAATAAAAATGTAATGAAGCAATTAGTGCCTACAGACCAATCTGGTGTGTGCTTATTATATAATACTATTATCGAGGGAGCAATAATTTCAATAGCCAGCAGCTGATATTCAAACAGCCTTTTTATTGCTGTCTTTACTGCTACCAGTTCAGACCAAACGACACAAAATTGTAACGTAACTTATGGTAAATGAAACTGCTCATATGGGAGGTGGTAGAAGATTATTTATGCTTACTGTTTTTTAAAATGGCTACAGTATTACATTTATTTTGGCTATCACCTTCCATGTTATCATGTACTGTATAGTCATTAAGATTTTCAACCTAAATTTAGTATTTCTGCATTTGAATTAAATATAAAATTTTAAAACTAATTAACTTGATGCATATTTATCAGTGATATATTAATAAAGCAGGTAAGATTTCTGTATTACTACTACTAAACTGCATGTGTTTTAAATACACAATAACCAGGTTTATATATTTATCATCAATTAATCCAATTTGTTTCAATCTCATACATTTTAACTAACTAAATTTTGCTTGTTCCATATGTATTGTTCAAACACATTTGATTTAATTTTAAACACAAACAAATCTGTGCTCATTCTAAGCAATTTGAATACATTTTGAAATCACATTTTGAAAATGTGATTATTTAAATAAAATAGTTAATAAATTATGTCAGTATATTTTTTAGTGAATCTCACTTATGTGTGACAGACAAATATGCATTAAATAAGTTTATTCATGTTAAAACTTTGTAATTAAAATTTAAACACACACATCTTAAATTTAGCCTTTTGTCATGTCCATCTTTTTATCCACAGAACAAGGCATTTGTCTTTCTGACTGTCCTAACCTGAGAATTGTCCTGGTTGGAGTGACAGAATCTGGGAAAAGTGCTGTTGGTAATGCCATTTTGGGCAAGAAAGCTTTTGACGAGGTTGGGATAAAGACCCGAATGAGTTTCCCATGTCAGGGTCTTGTGAGAGGACAGCAGGTGCTGGTGGTTGACACCCCAGGTTGGGAATGGTTCAACATCAATGGCTCCTCTGCATCAGTATGGTCAGTGAAGAAGGAGATAATGAGAAGTATGAGTCTGTGCCAGCCTGGTGCCCATGCCCTGCTGCTGGTGGTGCCACTGTCATTCTCGTTCTCCCAGCGTGAGCATCGTGCCGTGGAGGAACATGTAGAGCTTTTTGGTCCAGAAGCCTGGAGTTATAGCTTGGTGCTCTTCACCATCTTAAACAGAAAGCAGTTACGTGGATCCACCTTAAAGCAAGAAGTGGAGTTGAATATGGAGCTACACAGTCTAGTTGAGAAATGTGGAGGCCGTTTCCATGCTCTGTACAGAAATCCCAAAGCAGGCCAGGACCAGGTGGCCGGTCTTCTGGCTAAGATCAAGAAAATGATGGCTACCAATGGAGAGACTATGCTCTCCAGTGAGGTGGTGTTGGAACAGGCCAGAGAAACAGAGAAAGAAGAGTTGAGAAGATTGGAGGAGGAGCAAAAGAGAGATGAGAAAATGCAAAAAGTGAGAGAGGCAATGAAGGCAAAGCAGTTAAGAAGGTCAAGAAGGAGAATGGACCAACAGACGTTGGACGGTAGGACAATATTCTTGTCCTTTAAGCTCAAGATATTAAACACTGGCCAAATATTAAAGGATATTAATGTTATTGATTGTTTTGAAAAACATGAAAACAAATGTGGTTACAATTGTGTTAAAAGTACTGAATAAGTTGAGAGAGAATAAAACCACTTTGAAACAATCAAAATTTCAAGTCAAATGTGAAACTTAAATTTTTTTTTGTTGAAATAACAAAACAATGGCAATATTAGTCAGAGTAGCGCCATATTTAATTCTTGACAGGAACGAGACTGACAAACAAACGAGTGCATTTAATGGATTGTAGGCCTACTGTTGTTTAACAACATACCGATTGTTCAGCTGATAAAACTTATTTTCCAGAAAAAAACTCCATTAAACAGTTTTGAAAGAGATCTAGTTCCTTTATACAGTGCGTGCCACTGTAAAGACTTGTTTAAGTCTGTCCCTCACAGTCTTGTTTTTATTCGCGTTAAAGGGGTCATATGATGCTATTTCAATTTTTCCTTTCTCTTTGGAGTGTTACAAGCTCTTGGTGCATAAAGAAGATCTGTAAAGTTGCAAAGACTAAAGTTTCAAATCCAAAGAGATATTCTTTATAAAAGTTAAGAGTCAACCACGCCTACTTAAAACGGCTCGTTCTAACACGCCCCCACATATCTACCTCACTATGTGGGAAGATTTGCATAACGCCGCCCAAATGTTCACGCAAAGAAAGAAGGTGCAACTTTTATAGTATTGTATAGTATTGTTGTTATAGTATAGTATTGTTGTTGGCGCCGTCGCTATGTCGTGAAGGCGCTGTGTGTTTCATTGTGAAAGCAAAACTACTTTGTTTGGCTTTCCTCTGGGAGAGTAGACTACAGACTTTAAGTACGTTTTTATATTTAAAGAATTTGCCACTGACGATTCAAATGTGAGTTTTGAGCAGTGTAGAGTAGCGTTTGTAGTTTGTCATTTCTCTGATCACAAATGCAGACATGGTTTTATGTTTACGCGGCGCAATGCAACGCGTAAAAAGACAGTATAAGTCATTATAATCCGTAATTATGTCCCCACTGGATGCAACAAATGCCTCGTTTATAATGGCTTTTAATGTTTTTGTCTCAGAGCTCTGGGTCACAGCATCACAGTATGGTAAGGGGCGTAACATTTCCGTCACACGCTTGAGGTATTCAGCCAATCATAACGCACTGGATAGCTGGCCAATCAGAGCACACCTCGCTTTTCAGACCGGTTCAAACCTTAAACCGCATAAACACATTTCATTACACCAAATAATGTTCTTTTTAGCAACATCATATGACCCCTTTAAATTCAATATGGCGTCTAGGTGATTACCTGTGGCTCACGACCCGTCCGATTTTCTTAACAGTTGTTCTTAACAGTTTTTCTTGTTTTCTACAGAAGAGGAACAGAAATACTCAGCTAGGTACAATAACAGCATTGACCAGCCTCTCAGTGGCAGAAGTAGCGTTCGTCAGAGCTGCAAACAACAGTGAACGATGGGAAGCAGTCACTAAAAACATCCACCACTGCAGCTTCCGCAACTCACCACCAGAGGCCATCATAACTTCACATCTGTACCTGATCCAGTCACCAGTGTTCATCTGTGATTTATCAAAGCAATTTACAAATGAGGAACATGAACTTAACAGCACTTTTTAAACTTGATTGATTGTTAATGATTTATATGACCAAAGCTCGGTCATAATATATTGTTGCAATGTTTTGCATTCAAACTTATTTCCTTGTGAAAACACTCTCGTAGTAACAAAAAATAAATAAAAAATTTAACTCTTCTGACATCCACAACATTCTGCCCTGCTTTTGCCAGTATTGGGGTTTCAAAAACATTTAAAATGTTTGAAAATGTTAAGAAAAAAAAAAAAGTCTTAGATTTGTATGTCACTTTAAACCAGGATTTTTTTGCGACATTTTAGTAGTGAAGCATTAAACAAATTCCTTTAATATGCAAAAGTTGCCCATTTCTGTTTTTCTGCTGGTCTTTAAGTAAATATATATATATATATATATATACATACATTTTGTAAAATCTTTTGTAATAATTCGTCTGCGGCTTTCAGAATTTCCCTTTATGCTTAAACAGTCATGGCCAAAAGTTTTGGCAGTGACAAATTTTGTTTTGCAAAGTTTGCTGCGTCAGTATTTGTAGATTATTTTTCTACGTTTCTATGGTATACTGAAAAACAATGAGAAGCATATCATAAGTTTTAAAGACTTTTATTGGCAAAAATATATATATATATAATGAGTCAGTATTTACAGTGTTGACCCTTGTTCTTCATAACCTCTGCAATTCGCTCTGGCATGCTGGATATTAGCTTCTGGGCCAAATCCTGACTGGTGGCAATCCATTCTTGCCTCTCTATGGGATGGAGATCCGGGGAGTTGCCTGGCCATGGATCAAAAATTTCAATGTAATGATCTTCGAGCCACTTCTTTATCACTCTTGCTTTGTGACATGGTGCTCCATCATGCTGGAAAGTGCATGAATAATCATCGTTAGATGATCGTCATCGTCATCAGAGCTTCATCAGAGAAAATAACTTTGCACCAGTCTTCTGCTGTCCAATCCTTGTACTTCCTGCAGAATTTCAGTCTGTCCTTGACATTTTTCTTGGAGAGAAGTGGCCCCTTTACTGTCCTCCTTGACACCAGGCCGTTGTCCAAAAGTCTTGGCCTCACTGTGCGTGCAGATGCCCTCACACCAACCTGCTGCTTTTCCTGAGCAAGCTCTGCACTGTTGGTGATACGATTCCGTAGCTGACTCCTCAGGAAGAGATGGTGGCGCTTGCTGGACACTCTGGGACGTCCTGAAGACTTCTTCACTGCAGTCAAACCTGAAGTTCTTGATAATCCGGTAAATGGTTCTTTCAGGTGCAATATTCTTTGTAGCAATTTCCTTGCATGTGAGGCCATTTTAATGCAAAGCGATGATGGCTGCACGTGTTTCTTTGAAGGTAACCATTGCTAACAAAAACACAATGATTGGATGCGCTTCTTCCCTCCTTTTATAGCAATCAGTCTGCTCTTACAATCTAATTAGCATGATAGTGATTTAACCTGACTAGTACTCATTTACACTTTCACATGTGCTGCTGATATGATTAGTCAATTAATGATAGCTGGTCATTTTGTTTCAGGATTTAAAAAAATGATTTTTTTTTTTTTTAATTGTGTGTGAAAAGTTCTTTTTTTTTTGGCCAATAAAGATTTTAGCAATTATTTCAAATGCATCTGATCACTCTACACAATAATCTAGAAACAATGTGAATGAACACCACTGGATGCGCTTCTTCCCTCCTTTTATAGCAATCAGTCTGCTCTTACAATCTAATTAGCATGATAGTGATTTAACCTGACTAGTACTCATTTACACTTTCACATGTGCTGCTGATATGATTAGTCAATTAATGATAGGTGGGTATTTTTTTTCAGGATTTAAAAAAATGATTTTTTTTTTTTTTAATTGTGTGTGAAAAGTTCTTTTTTTTTTGGCCAATGAAGCTTTTAGAAATGATTTAAAATGCATCTGATCACTCTACACAATTACCTAGAAACCATGTGAATGAACACCACAACAGCTTAAGCAGCAAACTTTGCAAAACACAAAATGTATGTCACTGCAAAAACTTTTGGCCATGACTGTACACTCATTTTATCACATCACTTGATCTGTCAGTGTTTAACTGAAGCAATTGAAACTCGAAGCAATTGAAACTCACACCACCCTAAGAGCAAAGATTATATCTATCTGCTTCTATCAGCAAATGAGATCTAACCAGACTACTTATCCAAAATATAAACACTCCATTATGAATCATAAGTCCTCGACACATAAGACAGACATTAATGCAATAATTTTTTAATCAGTTATATACACGTTTTTTGACGTAAAACATAGCCTATGTACAAATGTGTAGAATAAACAGATTTTTAAACTTGGACGTAGCTTAGACCAGTATGTAATGACTCTTTTTTTTAAGTTATGATTTTTAACATGAATTTACTATGTGCTATATATTGAGCAGATCTCTGTAAAGCTTACATTTGACTAACATGAATTATTAACAAGTCAGACAGCTTGAAATGACAAGTGTTCATCTCAACTCTTCTTGAATCTTGAAAAGTACTTTAGTAGCAAATTACTCTAAAACTAATTTAAGGCAGAAACAGTTGCTCCAACACTTCCTGGCTCTTCCTAAACCTCCATATTCCTATGCATAAGGAATCATGGATCTTCTGCCAGGCCTCCAGCTCAGATTTCCACAGAGCTGCTCTGGAGCGGATGAGCTGAGAAGCCTCACTCTTGCTCCCTTTGGCCAGACTTATACTGTCTTTGCAGATAAATAGGACATCTAAGCCAATAAAGAGGGCATTTAGAGTGATGAATCCAGCTCTAGCAGACTTAGAGAGCGCTAGTGGTGTCCCTTTCGCCAGCTGCCCAATGTCGGGCAGGTCTGCAGCGAGTTTGGGAATGCTGCGTGCACTTTGTGCCTCCTGGAGCCCAATCTTTGCTGCAGTTGCAATCACCTCCTCACTTTTGAGAACTTTAACAGCTGAGGCTGCATCTACCAGGATATCAATACTTTTGGCTACTCCTCCAGCACGAGATATCAACTTTCCTGCTCCAATCATCATATCTACAACATCAAGTCCCTCTAAACGCTCCTCGCTACTGGCCTGCTCCAGACAGTCTAGAATCTTCCCCACATCATCCATGTATCTCTGGAAAATGTTCTGTGCATTTTTCCCATGGTGGTTGTTGACTGCTGCCTCAGTGATGCCTGTGACAACACTATTGACACCACTGGTCACCCCCAGACCGACACCGGTCAGTGTCAGAGCCAATGACACTCCTGCAGTAACAGGGGCAAGAGCAAGACCAACGATGGACAAGACACCGCCTGCTATCCCAACTGAACTGCCAGCCACAGTGGAGATACTGGCCCCCATCTTCATTCTGTCCAGCTGAATTGCGCTCTCCTCCAGATCTGACAGGAACTGCTCCATTCTAGAGCGACGCTGACTGAACACACCAATGAAGTGCAGTGTGTGTTCCAGAAAAATGAAGGTCAGCCTGGTGTGCTGGTCCATCCTGGATAATAGAAAAGATAAGAGTTTACAGCCACCATTGACAATGCACCTGAGAGTGAAGAAAACAGCTGATCATGATAAAAAAAAGAAAGGTCTCACCTTATTTTGCACAACTGCTTCAAATGATTAAGCATTTTTTGCATGGAATCCTCACTTAAGATCAAGCTGAACTTTACTACAGGCTCACCCTTCTTAAATCTGTAAAGAGTTTCAGTATGATTAACAAACACTCACCAGTTTTCCTACTTTACCTCAAATTTCACAAGAGACGAAGATGTTCGCATTGCACAGAAAGATAAGGGAAAATGCTTTCTTAAGAAAGTGTGATAATGCATCAGCCAATATTTTAAAGCAAATAAATTGAAAAATTTGCTAATTTAGTTACTATAGCACAAAAGTGAAATTCGTGAATTTATTAAATTATTTTGGCAGAATAAATAAAACATTCTGTTCGTGTAAAATATTAAATCACACGTTACATGTAAAACTATGCATTTCGCCAATTTAGGTCAATAATTGAATAATGACAGACAAGTCAAATAAAAGAGTCCCAGTCAAAGAGGGGCAATTGAAAAGTGCTATTATTGCATGAATTATATATAGGCTTATATTTTAGTGGTTATCATAAAACTAATAAACTATCAATTCAGATTTAGTGATTCCACTCAATTTGTATGTGTAGGTTTTTGAAGATGTTTGAATCTTACCACATCTTTAAAGTATTATTTATATTACTTACCTATGGATATCGTCAGACCAGAAAACACTCTTAGATCTGTGAGAAAAAAATAAATACATAAAAATATTAATAATTAATGAAATTATGAAAAAGCCTTAGATGATTTAGTAAATACCACTGAGATGATTCAATAATATGTGTGTATTAAGATGTTTATATAATCAGATAAATATCCTTTTAAAATCAGCATTGCAAGAATGTCAGAAACTAACTTCTTCTCCATCTTCGCACAGATCTGTTCAGTGACACGCATATATTTGTCTAGTTGAAAGGCCAGGACATCCAGGTTATTAAGTGAAGGAAGGAAGAAGGTTTCTGCATTTCGTTTAAAGTGGATGAGGAGAGGAGAGGCCATTCTGGCAGCTGTGATGACCGATCGCACACTTTCAGGACTCTCTCCTTTTGGCAAGAAGCTCCGTCCAGTGAAGACAAACAGTGAGGTGACTGTAAGCTTCTCCACTGCATCCAGAAAGTGGTCAAGTTTCTCCAGCCCCTCAAGTGTGTCCTTCAGGACAGCGCCCAGTTCCTTCTCCAGCTCCTGATATCTGGAGTCAGCTGTGACCTGAGTTAAACCACTCCACAGGAATTCCCCAAAAGCCTTGGCTTTGTTCTTGGAGCGCTGAACATGGTCAAACTTAAGACTGACTTGGTCTGCTCTGTCCTTGATGTCTCTAATATTATCCAGCTCTGTCTCTCTCTGAAGGGTCCATTTTTGTTGTTTGTCACAGAAGTCCCTCACTGTCGAAATGCAGATGAGTGTGTCCTCTACATATTCTGACAGGAGCTCCTGTAGTTGTTCCCTGAGTCATAGAATCAAAACAGAGGAGTTTAGTTAGTAGCAATTATATTTCTTCTCTGAATAAATAAGTGATTACCGGTAATGCATTTCAAAACAGTTCTGGAATAACTAGTAGGTTAAACTACTATGTAGGTCATCCTAAGCTGCCATACAAAACAGCTTCTCTGAAAAGAGCTATTTTGTAGTTCCTCTTAAGATATCTAATATCTTAATATTTAGGATAAGTTTTTGACTACAGTTTGTTGTGGGGTGTTTAGTTTCATGGTTGGGTTTTGTTCTTACAAACGCGCAATTCAGTCCATGACATATTTGGCAAACAACCTGATTCATGCTATGGATATTACCAAATATTCAGTTTCAAGAATCTGCCACTGAACAATTTGTACAATTTGTTATCACTCTATTTGCCTGAAACAGATGTCGACAAACATGCTTGTTTGTCTGGTCCAGGATGTTGAAGGATAATAAAGAAACACTGGCAAACTGCCACCAATAATTGAGCCATATTATTAGCCTATTATTTATTTATTTATTTTAAACGGTCAACTGTTTCACTGTGGTCCACTTTGAATTTAAATCAAACTCATATACCTAAGCCAAGTAGAACAAATAAATTGTGTCAAGTTAAAATAGATTGATACAAATCTTGTATAATTTTTCACAGTGCAGAGCCCAAAGTTATTCAATAAGAGCTTTATAGAAGTTATATTAAATTTCACACCCAAAAACAAAACTACAGCTACTAGCTAGCCTACATGGAAAGTAAAAATGAGCTAACTTGTTTTTCTGCATTCCAGGTTGTTGTGTTGTGTAACGTAGCTAACCTGAAGAAAACATTGTTTAATTCCTTACACTTCGCCAGACTGATCTCAATTCACGTTAAAACGTATTTTAGACCTTTAACGTTGTTTACACTTCTCTCTCTCTCTCTCTCTCTCTCTCTCTCTCTCTCTCTCTGTTTGAGAAATATGGCTTCCGACATGGGTTTTTATTTTTTACTTAACTTTGTGTAACTATAACTTAAGGGGAAAAAGATTGATTTAAAGATTACAATACCCACCTGGTGTCCATCGTTTTTCAGAGTAGTCTGCAGATGGAAAGTTGTGGTATTGACACTTGCCAAACTGAGGTGAGAAACCAGAGTAATATTTTGTTTTTGCTCTGGACGAAGGTTTAACTTTCGCTTTCTTTTCTAATTTTTGTTGCTCCACCCGTCGCCACAGAGGTCCAGGTTCAAAACAATTCTATGTTAACAACCGGTTAAACCCACTCGAAACAGAAATGCTACTCTCATGAAAAGCACTCATATGTTAGCTCTGTTTTGTGTGTGTGTGTGTGTGTGTGTTTTTATATATGCCTTTATATATATCAGCCCTTTATATAAGGCGCATTGTATGTTCTGATGACACTGACATTCCACAGCTATCACATGCACATGAAGTGTTTGTACCGTCCATATGAGGGCGCCGTAAACTCATGTCTACGCTATGGGCGTACACTTCTGGAGTGAGTGAAATTATATTAATATCCTAAAAGGTTGAATTACCCTGCTTTAAAAGGTACTTTTAAATATCGAGAACAGTTGAGATGTGCATTAAGTATTTGCATTCAAATGGACGACTGTATTTAGCATAGCGACATTGAGTTAGAGCAGTTATACTACTAGATAACCGAGTAGATAACTGATTACATATTAAGCTTCTGACTCTTTATTCATCCTATAGCCTACACACACAGACACACACACACACACACACACACATACACATACGTGTGTGTGTGTGTGTGTGTGTGTGTAACGGAGTTAAAATAATTAGTTAAATATACAGATACTTTAGAATGTCAAATCACATAGGCTATAGCTGTAATAATAACTGCAGTAATGTTTATGTATACTCCACAGCATTCTTCAATCTTAGAAACTTTGTGAAGCTACGGAACATGTTACCGGTTTCTGATGCAGAGATGAAATGCATTCATGACATCTAGACTGGACTATTGTAGTGCAATGCTTGGTGGTTGTCCTGCACCTTCAATGAACATGCAACAGTTAGTCCAAAGTGCAGCTAGCCTACTAGATTTCTTTGCAGGTCAAGAATATATGATCATTACCCCAATTTTACAATTTCTACACTGGCTATATTAAGTTCTGCATCAGTTACAAAATATGGCTACTTACTTAGACCGTATGGTTTAGCTCACTGCGTACAACCAGTCTTCTATCACACTACAAGCATCAAGCAAAGCTGGAACTTTGGTTGTAGGATAGCAAAGTTCACTAAAGGAGGTAAAGCATTTTCGCATTTGGATCCTAAACTCTGAAATAGTCTTCCTGATATTGTTCAGGGCACATGCACTCTCTGTTTAAATCTAGATTAAAGACACATCTCTTTAGCCAAGCATTCCTATAATGTATCTCATAACCTTGTACTTCAGTTTTATCTAATCAAATGCACATTATCATTCATTGCTTGAAATGTTTTGAACAGTAGCTACGCTAATTATTATAGCTAACTACGTTAACAGCTGATCAGCAGGGGAAAAGATCAGGAGGTTGAAAGAACTGCCTGCTGAGCTCAGAAACAGGATTGTATGGGGAAAATCGGTTTAAATCATATCTTAAGAGTTATTTGTTTTTAAAAGCTTTTAATTGACAAGTAGGTTGAATTCAGGTAAAGTGGGACTTCAGGTAAAATTGAGCTCAATGGGTTTACACTTAACAACGGTCTTTAATTGAAGGGACACTATTTCTTTAAATAATAAAATAGTTTCGGCTGATGCATTATGACCCTGGTGATTGTGGCTACACCTTAAAGGAGGACTACCTCATAATGAAAGGTAGAAAGCTTTTCATTTTTCAGATTTTCACTACTTGTATTATTTGTAGCTGCAGTTAACATGCATAACATGAAAGAATAGATTTTAAAAAATGTTAGTTTTACAATATTACATTCTAAATGTTGCTCTTATTCAGTTTTTAGTTAGTCTATTTGTTGTTGTATGTGTAAGCCACATTTTTTTAATGTTAGATTTCATGTTCTATGCATGGACTGAATGAACTGAGAATTTTACTAATAGCCTAGACTATTTTTGGGTTTGTTGTATGTTGTTGAATATGTTTGTTTATAATTGTTTAATTTTTTATAATTAAATAATTTCTAATTAAGATGCAAGATCATTTTTGATAAATCAGAGATGGCCCACTTTACCTGTAAAGACATTTGTCTTCAGTGCCTGATCTCAAAATGTTTACTGGTGTATAGACTAATTTATTGGTGTGTATATACAAGTATATATATATATATAAACTGAAAATATTACAGCTGGAGCTTAAAGTTAACAAAGCTAATAAAGAAAAGATAAGAAAAAACATCTGGGTATCAAAATTATAAGTTTAACAAAAAGTGTCCCACTTTACCTGAATTCACCTTATGTGCATGCAAACACAGATATGAGTACATAATAATAAACAGCAAACTCACTCTAATCTACAAAACAGATACTTAACCAGATCACTTTCCTAAAATTTAAACATATTGCATTACGAATCCCAAGGCTTCGACACAACACGCATATTTAAGAAACACTTATACTGCAGTATACTGTGAATTATCAGTGCTCAGAGTTGACACTCAGAGACTGTTCCAAATCACACAGAGATGGTCCTCACTGCAGAACACAAGATCCAGGGGGCGAGGTTGGATCCAGATCCAACTTCTCCCACCTTACATATACCTAAACCTACCCGTCTCCACCCCCTGATCCCTAAACCCACCCATCTCCACCCCTAAACCTACCACCTCCCGCCCTCTGGATCTTTGTTCTGCAGTGAGGGGCTACTGATCACACCCTGTACCCTTATTCACTATTCTGTACATTAGTTTACTAATATAATCCACTTGACAGAGTGAATGAAAACAAATGAGTGAATTCAGACACTGATGAACACCTGCTGTTAACAAGCAGTTTCACTAAAGGAAAGAGAAACAACAATAACAGACAAAAGAGAAACACAACAACTAGCCTACAACTGACTTAGATCAAATTAACTGAAATAAAAGAAAGCATTAAATCTCTTAAGATTTTAGCAGAGGATTATTTAACAACTCAAAAAAAAAAAAGCATCAGTAGCATGTTTAGGCACCACGCACGCAATTGCGTGGGGGCCCGCGGTTATTTAATTTGTCTGTCATTTGGTTTCTGTAGGTATACTGACCTGTACAATAAGGGCCACACGAGGGCGCTGTATAACAACTACAGGTGCATCTCAATAAATTAGAATGTCGTGGAAAAGGCATGCACCACAATTGTAAAACAACGTCTTTGGAGTTCAATATTTCAACATGGGATACATATTCAAATAGGATACATTTGTCATTGTATCCATTAAGTAATCAATGTTATTTTAATTTTTTTTCTTAAACTCTTGATGTCCAGAACTTACAAAAGCTCACTCATTCTCTGAGAATTCATAAATCAGAAGCGACCGAAAAGAGACATGACAGAGAAACATGGAAAACTTGATGTTTTTTAAAACGTGAATTACACTTAAACTGAATGAATTACGCATGTGAATGATTGGCTATATGTGTGTGTGAGAGTATGAGTGGAGGCCTCCAGCTGTGTGTTTAGTACTCAGAGCTGGTGTAGTGGTGACACACTGTTAGACTAATTGGATTGGATTGAGAAGTCTTCCTGGGAAAGGAGTAGTTGGGAAGGTCAAGTATTCCAATATCACTGAAGCAAGCAGAATTTGATTGGTCGCGCAGCCTGTGTGCATGTTAGCACCACCTCAAAATCCCTACCCTCTTCTTTTTTCTTCTTCTTCTTCTTAATCTTATTATTAATAATACGGAAATAAACAAAGGATGTCAGCAGTAGTGCTTATTTTGTTATATTAGCTGTACGATTTTGGATCACTGCATCATCAATACATTAAATTTGCTTTCATGTACAGAGATAAATGGGTATTGAGCATCCATCCATCTTTTTCTTTCTTTCTTTCTTTCTTTCTTTCTTTCTTGTTGTGGCAGATGGTAAATGATGGCAAGTCCACATTTCTTCAAAGAAGAGACAGCGTTGCAGATGGACAAGAGCGTAGAGGCTTTATTAAACATCCAACCTCATGTTTCTGCATATTGTAGAGCAATGAGGGTCAGCTTAATCAATTTAGTCAACTTAATAAAAAACATGGAGACAGCAGGAAGGTTAAAATTGTAAATTGTAAAGCCTTATTCATCTCGAAAAGCCACTGTTAGTCTCATACCATAAACAAGCGGCATCATTTATGCCATGAAACTTTTACAATCATGTTGCACACCCGAAAATATATTTTCTCTCGGGGCATCAATGAGATTAAAGTAGAAGAATGGAGAGATCCTTACCCGGGTGAGCTTTATGATACACACATGAAGAGGCATGTAATACCTGGTATTTATCAGTGTCTGTGTGAGAGAGTGTGTGTATGTGTGTATGTGTGCGGAGGGGTAAGGTTATGTCTCCCATTGCCATGGAAACAGAGCCCCTGTGTAAATTTTGCCTATACCAATGCTTTATTTCTTTGTTCCACTGATCTCTCTCTCTCTCTCTCTCTCTCTCTCTCTCTCTCTCTCTCTCACACACACACACACACACACACACGATGCGCAAAAC